GAGGAAAGTTGACAACAATTTCTGGTTTAAAGAAGGAAATGAGAAAGTCTTAGTACAAACTTAAATTTTATATCCTTATAATTTTTAATACTCTCCAAAGAAATTCTCTACTAAAATAGGGAATCCTTATGTCTTCAGTAAAAAATATAAAATGGCCTTTCCATCTAGGTCAATAGTAAATACAGACACCATCCATTACGAAGACTGGGAGATGGAAATGAATGTAACAATACTAATAAGCATGAAAACAGAACACCACTTGCAAGCACGCCACATCATGGTTCGAGGTACATCTTAAAGGTGGGTAAAGTGGAGAGAGCACACAGTCTAACCCTTGGTGGGTACTCAGGGAATAGGACTTCCTTTTGCTTCTAAAAAGATCATTAAAATAAATACTTTAAATTAAAATAATTAAATTCATATATATCAACAGAAGAGAGTTAACAAATTTGAAAACCTATTTTGATGCAAGTCCTGTCCTCTGGTTATGTTTCAGGTCACAAGTGGTAGGAGAAGGAGGGGTCATGGATGGCCAATGTCCTTTTGCTTGACTGGATAAGACACCAGCATTTCCATATGATCTTATCTCCGCTCTAGTCCACTCTATTATCTATATTTGATAGAACATGGGGCATTTTCTTTTCTCCCTGCTCCTGGCTATTGGTGAGGTTATGGGTGGGGAAACAGAAAGAAGCTAGAGGTTGGGTAAACCCCACTTGTGATACAAAAGGAGAGACCTCAACAGTCTGCAATTTGGAGCACACACTTCCACTATATTAAATGCCAGCAGACAGGCAAAATCAGAGATGAAATTTTAATTCCTCAGAAGTCCTAGTGAGGCAACAAAACATACTGAAAAGTGTATGAGATTGGAATAAGATTCTACTTGTGTTATCTTGTGCAGTTTAATCTCACTGAAACTTAGGTACTAAGAAATAGAGTTAATTCCAGTTACCTCATTAAATTGAGAATTTCATTAAAAGAACAGAAAAAGGAAAAGAAAAAAGAAGAAGAATAGATCCTGATGAAGTGATACATGAGCAAAGTCATTACAAATGTGCTCGAAATGGTCCTCTAACACATTCTTTTCAATTTATTCAGTAGGGAGTCAATCTTCCCTCATGGAAACATATATTTGATTTTAGAGTGAGTACTGATTAGAAATAGAATTCAGTTAAAATCAAATTTCTTGAGGATTCTACGCCATCTCTCAAGAGATACTAATGTGAAGGAATTTAGAAATGCCTAATATAAATACCATTTTTTTTTGAGACTTCAATGTTAGATGCAAGTTCTCTTTAGTCCTAGCAATTTAAACTGTTTCTGTTTTATTCTGAGACAGAAGAACAGTATAGTATTATATAAGTAGAGTTGACAAAAGATACTTGTGATTTTTAAATTTCCAGATTGCCTATATATTACATAATAGTTTTCATGAAAATATTCATGAGTTCCACAGTTGTGAGATAAAATCTGCTGATAACTTTCCAAGATTCACACAATGTGTATTTTGAGATTACGAATGTCTGTGGCTAATGCTTACACCCAGTTTAGTGATAAGAAATATGGTGGGCAGGGGTCTCTTAAATGCAACTAACAGAAATTATAATTTTAATAAGCTTCTGAATAAGTTTGTGGCTACATCATACATTTTTTCCTTTATCTTTGGCTCTTTTAATTTTTTATTAGCTCTTATGCTGCTATATGGACAGGATCTGGAACCGAAACAGTACCATTTGATTTCCTACAGTATTAGAAAAACAATGTAAAGAGACAGGATGGAGATAAATGAAATAACTAATAATAAATAACCATTGAGTTATCTCTAGTTCTTTAATGTTCTCCTACCTGCTAAACAATTAGACATTGAGAAGACTGAGTCAATTGATGTCTTTTGTTTGGCTCTGTCATTATAGAAATCTATTATCATCATACACAAATCTCTCATAAAAAGAAAATTCCAGTTAGCTGTTATACAAATCACAGCAGCAGAGGAGTCATGAATCCTTACTCTGGAATGAATATACATATCATGGTGCCAAGCCAACTGCTAAGGATTTCCTGCTGTGGTTCTCTATATTTAAAATAAATATAAAAATATGTAGTTCATATTACTGGAATGGGGAGTTCTCACTAGTTGAGTAACCACTAGGCATGTTAGCAAATGTGCTCTAAAACTCTACTTGGGCATGAAAGATTTTCTTACACTCCTCTCCAAAGAATTTTTAAATTGCTAATGAAGAGCACTCTACCTCACTATTGCTCAAACTTCACTACTTTGCTAGCTGAGGCTTTTAAATAGAATGATTCAAATTCAATTGTTTGTTCAAAGTTGGTTGCAATAATGGATAGTCACTAAGATTTTTGATGGTATTATTTTGCAGTATGGTAAATACAGGATTATATTTCTTTAGGTATGAAGGGAAAAGTGTAGTTCATATATTTATTAAAATCACTCATATTCACATAAAATGGTAATAGATTAGCTAAAAATGGAAATGAAGCCATTATATTGATTTGTAAAACTGAAGGAATTGTCTAGAAGATATGAGATCCAAAAATGCCCTTAACAAATATAAATTTGAAAGCACCGATTATGAATTTGCACTTACTCTGGACAAAGGGGTTAACAGCAACACATTTTTCAAAAATGCTGACTAATCTCAGAGGATACTAGCTAGGAATAACGAAGCAGGAATGCAAAGTACTTAGTACATTCAAAGAGTTCCACTAATTCTTAATAAAAACACCTTGATGGTTCGGATGAGAAGCATCATTACTTTGCTTATCAATAATATTAACTCGAGCAAAGTGGGTGCACTTTTTCAATTAAATAGCAGTTTTTTAGGCAAATGTTCAAGTCAGATGATAAAACTTGCACTTAATTTAATGAGGCACTTTAAAGGAAATGCATGAAGTCTTAACTCTTAACCTAAAGACACTATGAAGTCAAGTGTCCGCTATTTATTTATCCTTGATTTTAATTTTGGGTCACCACATGGTAATAATTAATGAAGTAACAACAAAAAAAAAATTCCTATTCATAAAGGAACCAAAAAGTCTGATGAGATGCTGGCAATTAGGGTAGGATGCTTAAGCATGTTGGGAGCGCTCCAAGGATTTAATGCTCATTTGATCATAATACAGAGAACTGCCATCTATTTTTCACCTTAATTCTAGGGAAATCTTATTTTCATTATTTAAAAAAATTAAATTACTGTGCAGTGTACCATAAATCTTTAGTAAATAAAGTGAAAATACCCTTGAGCCCAAGCTGTTAGATTTGCGAATATCTTATTGTGTATTGTGAGGAAGGCTTAGATTTTGATGATCAGGAAACGTACATAGAAGGAGAAGCTTATATAGAAGGAGAATTTCTATAAGGTAGATAGATAGTGCCTCTTAGGAATTAACTGCATTTTTCTGTTACTTACATGGTATATCGTTAGCCTTTCAAATTTTCCATGGGAACCACAGACACAAACCCACATGAATTCTTTCTAGGTAAAATATTCATTGAGAAAAATAATATATTTGTTGCCAGGTGATAGTGGGGACTGCTCAAGATTGAGGGGTGTAGCAACCAAGATCAGAAGTGATTGCGCCCTGATGTGAGAGCAGACAAGTATATCAACTGCAGCACACAAAAGGGACACGCTTCTGCCTTATGTCACCAAAAGAAAGGAAAAGTAAGGCATAGACAAAGTAAGACCTAGAGATTAAGCGCAAAGATTCTGAAATATCACTACCTTCAATCAAATACAATTCTGTCCCTTAGAAACTACGCAACCCTACTCGACTCATTTAGTCATCCTCTGTCTTACTTTTTCAAATGCAAAGCAAAAACAACAGTATCTACTTCCGAGATGGGTTATGAGAACAAAACCAGAGCTCAATACATGTACATGTTATGTGACTTAAAATTTTCTGAACTACTGACACCTACCGATGCTTCTAGATTCTCATATTGCTTCACTAAAATTGCTATTTTTACAAAGCAAGATTGTGGATACTCACTGACTCTGCTTTTTCTTTTGATTTTCCTTTAGGTTAAGTTACCTGAGTTATTAGAAGGGATTGCATTAGCCATCAAGACAATATTAAGTTAAGTCCAAAGTTTCCCCTAGCTATAAATACCCCTTGCCAAAATCAATTTCCTTTTATAGAAGTTTTAAAACCCATTTTTAAAACCACAAGCATACCACATAATAACCAATGAATTTTTTTTAAAAAATGCAATTGTTAAAAGCCTGTGCCCAATCATAGTTGACTGGGGTTATGAGGAGTACTAGTCACGTGTGTGTATCTTAAGGATCTTCATAGCGATGAATATGTTCATCACACATTCATTATAAACTATTGTTAGGTGATTTGTAAGTTTGATACTATCGATATCATTTTATGAATTTGCAAGTTTTATCTAAACACCACCTGAATAACCTTTTAAAGTAGTCTTGATACTTTAATCATTTTTTTCTTAATTTAAGACAAGATAATAATGAAATAGTCTCTCAATTAGCTCATTATTTGGAGCATCATGTCCTGACTAGACTAGAGGAGCAGTGACAAGATAATTCAGCAGCTTCATTGCTGGCCAGACCTGTTCCTGCAGGGACACCTGGCCATCCCTGCAGGATGCACTAGCTCCCAATAATTAATCTCTACCAACCTTTCCCAAATACTTTAGAGTAGTTGAACTTCAGGCAGTATGTGCTTTTTAAAAATCCACCAAGGAATTAAGAAATCAAACAATTAAATTCAGATTAGTGAGTGAAGGAAAAAAAGGGGGACCTGTGAAATCATACCCCAGGCCATGTCTCTGTAACATGTTGGAAACATAGTCACTATGAGTTGAAAGCAAAACCTGTGAGGCCTGATTTGCAGCATATGTCTTTCCTGTTACAGGAAGCACATGCGCAGATGGAGAGAGAGCATAATTAGCACATTGTATTTTCTCCCAGTGAAAGTCAATGAGCAATGATCTTTTTGCCACAACTTACTTTGATTTCTTCATGTACAGCCAGTAAACCACGCCAGCAACAAGGGCAGCAAGGAGGAGACCAACTACGATTCCCACAATTAGTTTTGCCTGGTCATTCACCTTTTCTCTGTTTTCATCTACAACAGAGAAGAAAAGTCCATGCAATTACAGACAATGCCAAGGATTTTTAAAAAAAGGTCAATCTAGCTATTTCATATTAAGAATGATGAACACTCACTACAATAAGTAACATGCAAATTTGTGATTTTAAAGGATAAAATTTTAGCATTCTTATTCTTTTGTCTAATTTGCTACTTTAATTCAAATTGTGGCAGCTAAGAAAATTACTTATACAATGACACTTCATAAATCTTGAGCTGAGAGTCAAGGAAGAAGAGTCGGCAGCATAGTACCTACCACTTATCTCGTCTGCCTCATCGTGTTCTGGAATACTTACTGAAATGAAAAATGTTAATACGAAATTAAAAACAAAATTTGTTGATATATGAAAGTCACCTTTACCATTATAGTATGAGGTAATAATACTCAAAGATAAAATGTCTATTCTACAGCTAAGGGTAAAAAAATTACACTTAATAGTGTGTGAACTTCTCTACAAAGAAATTAATCTTGCATTAAGAAAAGGAGGACAGTTAAAACTACAAAAATAATAATCTACCATAGAAAATTTCACAACTGACAAGCTAGAGTGTGAATCTGAAATTCATATTAATACCTCCACTATTTACTACCTTTTAATGGGGCTTCTTATTTCGAGAGAAACAAATTGCCACTTATGAAATCAACAATTCAGTGTTTCTCCCCTTCTGTCTCCCAACAGGACAATTCATTTTTGCCCTCTAGTGTCAGAGACTTAGCACTAGAGTGTTTTCAGAGTGGTGGGGGTAGGACAAGGATGTCACAGATGCTAAGAGTGTTGTGGTGTTTGCAAAAGCCCTCCAAATGACTCTGACAGCTCCATTCTTGGCTTACTTGTAAGAATTTTGACTGTGGTGGGTTATCTAATATTAAGCTACATAAATATTCTTCTATGTGCACAGGCCTACATCAGCACTTACGGTGATGTCTGCTAAAATGCAGATTCCCAGACTGCTCTTCACACACACTAAATTAGAATCTCGGTAGGTGCTTATTGAATTTGAAACAGACTGTAGTAAATGTTGATCAAGTCACGACAAGGTCTAGAAAACCGCTATTCAATGGGTTAGAATAAGAAGACGGAGACTTGTGTTCAGGAAGAAAGGATAAGTTCTCTTTCTAGGTAGCACAAATCAATATTCACTGAATTGATTTCTGAGAAGTCAATGCTCCTATTTTAGGATTAAATTTGTTTGGTTCTTCTCTTCAGTCAATCCATCAGGCTTTTATATACCATTCATAATCTGTGAAGGACCATTATCTTTAGACAATTATCTTCTCCAAGCTCCAGCCAATTCCTAGCTAGTATGTCCCTTTCTTGCTAATGTCACATACAGGATTCCAACTGACTGAAGAATATAAGTTTGGATGGTCAGCAGTATCCTGTCCAGACTGAGCCTCATTCACCCTAATTTAAGGTTGACAAAGTGACAATTACAGAATTGAAGATGATGGCTAACATCAAATTAAATTGTTTTCAGAAGAAGTTGCCAATGTATTTATGCATTACCTTGATTTCAGCATTGACAGATTTTTCACTTTTTCTGAAATAATCACACTGATCTGATTTTAAGCTATGATTTAAGTAATAATATTCAAAAGCAGAACTTTTTGAAACTAGATTTTCATGAATGGTAATATCAGTTTTGCTACCAGTTTGCTGAATGACCTTAAACATGTGGCATTCCTCTACCAAATAAGGGTAGGGTAAATACCACAAAGAATTGGATAGCAAAAGGTTAGCTTAAAGGGGATAAAAAGCTTAACAAATTTAAAACTGTTACAAAAATGATTGAAAATAATCTTTGTATTATCTCTTTATTTCTACTCTGAACACAAACTTTGGATTAAGAGAAACTCAATTATTATCCTGTGTTGCTCTTGGGAAATATTCCTGTTCAAGATAAGGTCTCTGGCCCATAAAATGTGAAATGATTTAACTGTCAAGACAAGGATAGTACAAGAATGAAAACCGGGGGAAAAAAAAAAAAGAACCTTGTGATGATGATAACAAATGCAAAATAAAGAAATAAAACTTACCATAATGCAGTACAGGAAGATGGAATTGAAGATTTTTAAACTAATGAAGAATAACTTCAAATTTTCTTACTTTTTTAATGCCAGAAATGAAATACTCACTAGCAGATACATTCAAGGAGTTTACTGTTTTCTCCAGCTGGTTTTCTGCTGTGCAAGTTAATGTAACATTCTCTTCTGGGGAAATGATAATTTTACTATAATACCTGCCATTGATATAGGGAGATTCCTCTGTCTAGAAAGAAAAAAAAAAAAAGATGGAGTTAGAAGTGGAAGTAGTTTAAAAACCACGGGAAAGTGTAGTGAGTGAAATAGGATAGGTGTGGTGCTCTGTAATGCCATCTAGTGTTCAAGGGTATATATACGACCATAGGTAAAAAAACAATTCAGACGTTTATCTATCCACATCAAGGAGCGAAAAGGGTAAGTGAATTCATAATCAGATTTGTTTATGCTTCTATGATAAATTTAATAATTAAATTAATTATACTCTTATTTTCAATATAGTCTCGGTGAATAATTTGGTATACTAGCACTTGTTTCAAAATAATTAACTATGACTATCTAATCACCAATTTTCCTGCAATAAAATCACCAACTTTTCCTCAAGAAACTTATGAACTTAGTTGTTATTTGTAAATCAGGTCAGTGTTCCTCCCTACTGGAGTTAATTCCTTTACCTTAAACCATTACATCTAAATACATGTGTATGTATGATTTGCTCATCGGAAAAAATTTTTTTTTGTGAATTTTCCTAAGTTAAGTAGAGAGGATCGGTTCTTTTCCAGTGACTGATAAAGGCATTTGGGTTCTGTGGGGTGTTAACAGGAAAATCATTGCATTTAATTCCTCTAAACCAATTCACCTTACTCCCAACTCCTAAATCTGACAAGACTAAAGTGAATATGTAATTGAGCTCCGTCTCGTCACATTAGACATACCATGTCCTATATATTGTTTGCTATTTTCTCTTTCCTCAACTACCTTGCAAGGGCCTTAGGGACAACCAGCTAATCTCACACTTAGTAATATTATCTAATCCCAGAGATAGGGGTGGGGCAGAGGTATCAGTTATTGTAAAATAATAGATTCACCAGTGATTGAGGAGGGAACAAATAAAAGATTATGGATAGGCCAGCACAAACTTAGAACAAGAAAAATAACTTATCACCTAGTGGGGCAAAATCAATCCTTCTCCTTGACAATGAAAAATAGCATTATTATTTTTATCCTCACAGTAAATTCACCTGCTATTTTTCTACTCCTGTTAGTATTTTCATATGACTGCCTCACTGAGTCTATGTTTTTGTTACTTTTGTCTCTACAAAATGTATTTGCTCATTGCTGGGATGGCCTTTTAAATCTTTATAACTTTTCATTCATCAAATATTTATGTTTGTATGTGTGTTTTTCCTCTTTTCTATGATTTTATTACCAGTACCTAGAGTTATTTTTTAATATCTTGGTATATTTTAATATAATTATGTTTTTTTCTGAATTTCTTATATAATGGAAAGTTAGTATGTTCATTTAGAATTTTGAATTTTCGTACTGTCTTTATTTTAGGCTTGTACTTACTGTCTTTTTCCTACTTACTGTCTTTAAATTTCAGGTATACAGCCTTATATTTTGACATCTTTTTATTTATATTATGATCACCACCAAGAGATGAGTTTCCATTAAAGGTTCTATTTTTTTTCCCATGTAATTATTACTGACATGAACTAGAGAGCATAAAGAACAGACTAAATGGTGGTGGGAGAACTATAGGTTCTACACCTGAAGGGAGAAATAAAATATTGTATGAAAATTAACAATGATATAAGAAAATAAGTAAGTTTTTAATAAAAAAGACCCCCTCAAAAAAAAAGCATAGAAAGGAAAGTCATTTCTGATGCCAAAAATTAGATATGACATTGTCATTAATTTAGGTGGTTCAGGTCATGATTCTGAATAAACAAAACTTCATTTCCCTAGAGTCAAAGTGTCCACAGCCTCTTTCTCTCCTCTCATGCTCTCTGAACTGTGTGTACCCATCATACCTAACCAAATGCTTCAAGTGTGCCCAGTCCTTTGAGGACTTTTCATACTTGCAGCTATGCAAATAGATATGCATCAGCCAGCAGTCAAAGAGACAAGTTTACTTTGCTATGCAAAGCTACACTGATAAACTAGAACAATGACCTAACCTCTCTGGATAGAGAAAGAGTGGAAATTTTAAGTTAAAACTAAGTTGCAACTCTGCTTTATGCATGCCTTCTCAGATTTTAACTGGGTTCAAAGCTGGGAAGGCAGCACAGAAGATTCAAAATATCCTTGGCACCTCTGGTGTTCCTGAGGAGGTTGTGTTTTGTTTTATGTTTTTTTTTTTTTATTTTTTTTTTTGAGCACGGTACAGTCAGAAGCGTAGGAGGGTGAGAGAATTCACCAGAGCCAGAGTTACACTGCTGAGGGGAGCAGCGGGCGGCAGGAGAGGTCTGCGCGCCATGTTCACCGGTAGCAGCCGGGATCGAACTGGCACTGCAGAGGCTGCAGGCAGCTTTGCAACTCAGCGCTCAACCGCTGCGCCACCGGGGAGGCCCTGTTTTATGTTTTTTTAAACTGTTCTACTGAGACGAGAATTATGCAGACTGTTGTGGAGAAGTTGGAATTAACAAATACGTCAGTAACTCAAGCAGTCTGGCCATTTGATGGATTTACAGCTCTGAACTCCTCGTGAATGGCCAGATTTTAATCTTATTTTTTTCTTTTTATGTCAAAGAGAAAATTATTGATGTTGTTCATAAGCTCTTCACTCTTTTTTTTTTTTTAAGATTTATTTATTTATTTATACAAGAACCGGGATACAGGCCAGATGCGCGGGAGGGTGAGAGGATTCACCAGAGACAGGTGGGGAGCAAAACAGGCAGACTGACGAAATACACTGCTGAGGGGAGCAGTGGGCGAGACAGAAGAGGTCTGCCGCACCATTTGGGACCTTCGCCAGCCGGCTAGGATCAAACCAGCACTGCAAAGGCTGCGGACAGCTTCACAGCGCTGCGCTCAACCACCTGTGCCACCAGGGGAGGCCCAGCTCTTCACTCTTTACTATTACTAAAGTGTCTTGACAAAGGTGTAAATATTAAGGTTTGATTTATGTCTACTTTTGTTCAGAAAGAAACATCTTGGACAGTATGTAAGTTGGCTTTGTTCTGGCTCTAGCCCTGGCATATGCAAATCAGACCATATGTTCGCAAACAGTGACCATGTTCTTCATCATTCCCCAGGGCCCAGATTTAAGAAGAAATATCCCTTATGTGCATTTTTAAGCAAAGTAATGGTGGCCACTTATACTCAGATGTGTAAATTTATGAGGCAGAAAAGCATATACCTTAATGTTTTAATCACCCGAGTTCCAGGAATTAATGACCACAGAACAGCACCCAATTTATATTCTTTTAAAAGCAGATACTGACCCCAAGATAATGATTCTTCCATTCTCTATGGCCCTGGGATTTTAGATTTCTCTTTGAGTCATATTCTTTCTTTCTTTGAGATAATTAAAGAGTTAGAAAAGGCTTCCCTTGAGAATATACCACAAATTTCATGTCGGTAACAAGCTTGCCTACAGTTTAGCTACCTAAATAAAACCCCGCATTGGGCCAAATGCAGAATATAACAAGAAGACAAATACTTGCTTGGTTTATGACGCTTCCGCTGCCAGTAATCGTCCACTGTATAGCTGGCTTTGGAAAACCTTCCACATGACAGATTATTGTTTTAGATAGTCCACTGGGATCAGTTTTCTTTGTCATTTTGATTTGAGGTTTTCCTAAAATATCATTACAATTAAACTAAGATGTTGAACTGAGCTCATAAAAGAAAGCAGATAACAAATTCTCAAAGAAAAATGTCAGTTTGGTGCTTAAGTATTTTGTTACCTTCTACAATGAGAGTCAAAGACTCTCTTTTCTTTAGTCCTTCAACTTCCTGCAGAGCAGTTTCACAGACATAATTTCCAGCATCCTGATAATGAAGACTAGAAAATGATGGGCTAGATCGAAGCCTGATGTTATCCTGATTAAATAAAAAGTTAATTACTTCACACGGCACAATTATAACTCTCAATGTATTTATTAGATAATAATTAGGCCTAAAATTATTCTGATGGGTTGAATGAAAATGAAAGCTTCTTTTTCCCCCTTAATTTCAGATTATTTCAAAAATAGATTTTGTTTTCCTTTGTAGTTTTAGAGTTAGACATGTTAGAGTTTTATTTCAGACTTTCCCATTTATATCTTGGAACAAGTTCATAAACTTCTGATACTCAGTTTCCTTATTGTGCAATGGGATAATACTCTTACCATATTGAACTTTATGGAGTCTTAATTATATAAATAATATAATATGTTTTCATTAAGGAAGGCTCTCAATGGATAGTAACTATGCCTTGTAGTAGTTACTACTAGAGTTGACTTACAGAAGAGACTTGTTTTGTGTAGTCAATGATGTATAAAAATGCCTGAAAGCTGTTTTATAGGATACCATTATCAAGACAGGGGATTCATTACAGAACCATGGCAATTTTATGACCAAAACACTTTTTTTTAAGAAACCCTTGATAATAGATTAATATCTTAATTTGAATGAGCAAAGGAAATGCAACATTTAATTAACTAACCAATGGACTGATTAGCACTATTGACAATGGGTAATCAATTAACAAGTGACTACAGTTGACATAGAAAGTAAACGTAGCCAAGCAAATGTTCTATCTCTAGTCCTATAATAAAACACACTCTGAGTATTCCTAAACCTACTGAGTAGTCCAATTGCCTGGAAGTTTTCTAGTCCTTTGACCATCAAGAACTACAAATGCATCATGTCAAATATACAGTCAATGGAATGACACTTTAATCATCTGAGTGAACAAGAAGTTGTTAGAAGTAAAATTAAAAAATTTAGTTTTAAGAGTAAAAGAGCAAGTAACAAAGATCTAGTGTTGAAAGTAACCTAAAACAAAGGTATATTCATCACCAAAAAATCCAACAATATATTTCTCAACTGTTTTTAATAAAGATAATTCTTGCCAACAGAACCCCATTTTTCGAATAGTTTATGTTTTCTGTCAACACTTCACTGGTTAAGTGCTCCTGTTACATGCCATGTTCTGGTCATCAGTGCACTGGGTATTCAGAAATACTGGCCAAATATTTGAGTTGGAGGGACCATAGTTACAACCTTTTCCTTTGGTGCACCTTGCCCCAAATCACCAATTACCAATCACACATTTTTACACTACAAAGGTACCCATGATTGTAATGCCAGGTAATAGTTTCTATTTCACACAATTATAAGAATAAGCACTCTAGGGAAATTCTTACTCAGGAAATACTAAGCTCCTAATTCCTTCCAAGTATTCTACTATGGACTGGGATGAAAGGAGACATATATTTAAGCACAAACATTTAGAAACCTGAGACCAGTTTCAGTAGAGAGACAGAAAGTGATGAGACCTGAGCACAGTACTGACACTCAGAAAGGTTGGAGCTTGAGTATCTACTTTGTCAATTTTGAGTTTTCAGATTTCTCTTGCCTCATCTTCTTTGTGAATAACATAGGGAATAATAAATGTACAGCATGAGCACAGGATTGTTGTGTTATGTGAGAGCAATGTGGATTAAACGTAAACTGTTAAGTACTAAAATATAAAACTATTTATGTGTGTGCCCATGTACATGTCAACTACTTATACACATAATAAAACACCCCAAAGTTTAATTTTAGAAGATCAGTTATGGATGCCATACCATTGATGAGTACTCTAAAATTTTAGTATGACATGATTTGTGTTATATATTATAGAGAGAGTATGAATATGGGTGTATAAACCCATGAATATACCTATCTGCATATAATATCAAATGAAAAGAAGCCTAAAAAGGACTCAACCAAACAGAGGAATATTACTTACTTTCATCCATACCACAGTTGCATTCCTACTAGCAGACACTGTGCACGAAACAGGCAAGGCATCTCCTATTTGCTTGGTTACTTCCCCACTTGGGTTTAAGGACAAATCCAAATCTGTGAAGCAGAAAATCTGCTTGAATACAAACTCCAGGAAAGTAAGATAGTCAAAATATTTTGCAGGAAAAAAGATGAAAGAAAATAATTCTTCTAACGGCACTTGGAAATTCAAAACTGATTTATGTGACTGAAATAACTGATGTGTAGCATAATCAGTACAACTTTTCAAGCCAGTTTTGAGACCATTTTGGACAAGTAAGTGGTCAATGTAATTGGTTATACATTTATTTGCAGTTAACATGATTGATGTTTTAACTTTTTATATGTAACATCTGAGGTTTATCACCTTTAGGAAAAAAAAATTCTTATATTGCTTCCAAAAGAAAATAAAAACTGTGATGACTAGGTTAATATAAAAAGAACTGGTGAGGCATGAAGTTGGAAAATCAAGTATATTTTAGATAGTAGGTAATAAACTGAAAAACCATGAGAGAGTCTGTATGTTTCTTTAGAGAGAATTAACTATAGCAGTTAAATATTTTTAAAAATGTTATTCTATTTCTTATACAGTTGAAATTTTAAACAAGATCTAATGTTATACAGTCAGCAGCTAACATTTTAAAAAGCAGAGTATAAATATATCTAAGGATATATAATCTTTCAGAGGGAAAGTAATTCCCACAAAAATCTTAATGTCATAGCATGATCTATCTGAGGGAAATCCAATTCAATTGATCAAACATTTGTTATACATTTACTATGCTCCAAGCATTGATGGGAAATCAGAGATGAATAATGAGCTTACAGTTTATAATTTTGAGGTTGAGGTAATGTGCACTCAGCTGACCATAATATGCAGCAGCCTAAAATCAGTACCTACTAGCAAACATGGTATAGATTGGGAGCTCAATAAATACTTGTTGAAAGGCTTTTTGAAGAAAAAAAGCTATGTCAGAACTACAAGCAAACACTTACGAGTGTTTAGAGAACAAAGCCAAACTGACTTTCAAAGTAGTAATAAAGGTTTTGAATAGGAGGCAGTGTTTGTCGTTCCCAATGATTGAAAAGAGCTTATGTGGAGATACAGGAAAAACTCTGCCACATAAATAAGTGAAGAAGCTTGGCAGGTTTCACAATGATGACTACTACCATGGTATAAATGCAAGATAAACATACATAATTAATTAAGGCTTACCACACTGAGAGTTAGAATTTTGTCCTATGGCTGTGAATACTGCCTTGCACCCTACACTTCTAGGATTTACATGCATAATTGCAACAGAGCACAACATTTGTTTGCAACATTTGATGTCTGCAACATCATTTTTAATGCTTGTTTCTCCTCCTGGGCTGTGTGCCCCACCAAGGAACATGAGTGTTACAATCTATTAGCTCCCACAAGTCGGCTCAAAAACTATGCTGAATGAGTGAAGGAAAGAAGCATGTTTCTCATTAGTATTAAAATATGCATTATCACATTGTAAAGTGTGGAGTTTCCTCAGAATATCTGGATGAATTATATTTAGATAAAAATTCTATTCAGGACAAGTTTGAAGCTTTTATTAGCTAGACTGTTACTGTGCCAGTGAGAAGATAAAAAGTCATTTTAAAGGATGATGATGCACTTTAGAAGTTCTAATGAAGAATCTATATGTGCATGAATTGGCCAAGGAATAGCAGGCATTTCATCAGCAAGTATAGATCTGTGGGCTGAAAGTCCTAAGGAGAGGTCTGTTCTGCAAATATGCAGCTACGGGCTGGTGCTTCTCTGGCTACACTCCATTTAGTCATCTATGGAAAGGAAACAAATCCAGTTTTGGAAAACAAACAGGCAATCAAGGATAAGTGGACAAAAATAGGATTTTTATGTTTTCACTACTTGTAATATAGAATAAATTCCTGCTCTACTTGCAATAATTTTTTCAGCTTTCAAAGAAGTAATACAGGTCTTAAGTCCCAATGTTAGATTCTACCTGTGAAACCAAAAAGCACGTACATCCAATTTTGCTTATTTTTTTCCCCTTTAACACAGGTGACTATTGAGAAACTATGTGTCCATGGTCAAGTCTTTTGCTTTCACTCTGCTATCTATCTTTACCTGCCTGATCTGACTGTGATACAAATGAGAGCGCTCTCTTTTTAGGGGTGTGAGTAACTTGCCTCTCTTAAATATAAGCATATTATCCATTTCTAAACCCTGGTTTACTGGTTGTTGGTTCTCATGAAAAATAATCAGAGAGATATTAAATAATATCTCTATTATTTAATCAGGCAGTTCTACCTGTTGGCTGTATTTCCTCACTTCACTCTTTCATTTCCCATGGAATAGACTGGATAAATGGTTCTATGATTGACTGGTCCTCAGAGAAAAAGTGCTATAGTTATGCTGAGAGGATAACACCGCTTCCCATTTAACTAGTCCCTGATGGTTGGTACACTCAGATATGTGCAATATGAATATGGAGTAAACAAAGAAATGGTCTGGCTGCGAACATTTCTTAAAAGCCCACTGTTTTTACAGAGCTCCCAAGTGTGTGCTCCTGACTCAAAAGCAAACATTTGGCTACTCTATTCCCAAATGTACCTCCTTGTATCTCCCTCAAAGTTTCTGTTACTATCTTACATGTTTCCCAAACATTAAAGATAGAGTGAAAGATTTGGAATAATTTCCTCAAAATAAGGGCTGGTCTCTATCAATTGTGACATAAAGAAACCCCTCATAGTTAATGGGACTGTAGTGGAGTCTGACTAGAGGAAAGCTTACTGATAGTGCCATAAATAAACTCTGGCCTATGCCCTCCAACACAGACTGATGTTAGCCCACAGCACTCTGAACTCTAGTGTCACCAGGGAGCAGTTCAAGTTAGTTTTCCATTTACATGAGGCATCAGGTACCTCAATAATATAGACTGTCAGGAATAAAGATCTTAAGTCAAGTGTCTCTTCTCTTTTTCTATCACACTGGAGTAAATCAAACTTTTGGAATACCTAGAGCTCAAAAGCAGGTTAGAAGTTAACAAAACAGTCTGATGGGGGTAATTGTGAAGGGGACCTGTTATCAGAAATTTTCTCTCCTATACAGGAGCCAATAAATGTCTTTTAATGGTCTCTATTGCCTCCAAAGTTGAATCTACGGTAACACTGTGTTGCTTAGGTTTGAGGGTTAATTTTAAAGGAGACAATCTACATTTTTCTTGTTCAGATGCAAACCTGTGAACTTCAAGAATATCTATATATTTTCTCAAAATATAAAGTGAGTACATGTGAGTAATTTATTGATACCACAAATTGAAGACCATTTGAAATAAGCTGGAGATTCACCTCTCCCAAACTTTTCAGTTATGAGTTCCACACCAGATTTCAATAATGTGGTATAACTCTGGAACAAATTTGAGCTTGCAGTGATGCTCTTCTGTCAGTCCATTAAAATCATGTTAAGAAAAACATGGCAGCCATGTATTTGAAAAGACAGCCAAGTTAGATTATTAGAAACTATAGCAAAGTTGGCAGAGAAGACCAGGGGACTTACAGTGAACCGTGATGGCTGTTGAAGCAATCATGCTTTTTTGGTCTATCAGGGAGCATTTGTAGTCTCCTGTCGCATTGCGCCTCACGTCTGTCAGCATGTAAGTGTTTGAGCTTCTTATACCTTCGGGCTGCCCCTTTTGATGGAGGCAAAATGTCAGATGATTACACTTAGTAGCTACAATGAGAACAGTTGTTTTTTTTTTTTTTAAATATTTATTTATCCATGCACATAAGAGCTGTGGTACAGGCCAGAGATGCGGGGGGTGAGAGGATTCACCAGAGACAGAGAGGTAAACAGAACAGGCGGACTGATGAAACACACTGCTGAGGGGAGCAGCGGGCGAATCAGGAGAGGTCTACTGCACCATGTGGGTAGCTCCCTTGCTGGCAGGGGATGGAACTCATGCTGCAGTGCCTGCAGACCACCCCACAGTGCTGTGCTTAGCCCCTTGCACCACCAGGTAGGCCCAAAAACAGTTTTATTTCTTGATGAAAATGGCATTTACTCAGATGAGGAAAAAAATTGGGAATGTGTCAGTTCCAGTGGGCAAATAAAAGCACAGTTTTAATTGATTCTTGGGGAAAAAGGTTAATATTTTATTTCTAAGGAAATGTGGGAGCTAATTTACATTGTACTAAAGATAGCTATTTATTGATAGCATGACTTAAGTTTGAATGCTAAAGCACATTTAAAATTTTTCCAATAGTATATTTTAATATTTATGCTTCTTCTAATTTGACAAAAAGATTTGAGGCAACTTAAAGGGAAAACATATGCACATGAAAATAAAAAGGTGATAAAGAAAGGAAGGAAGGAAGGGAGGCAGGGGACAAGAGGGGGAGAGAGAGAAAGGGAAGTATGATGGGAGAAAGAAATAAAGAGAAACAAAAGCATAACTATGAGTATATAATGATCTAGATGAACTAGGAGTACACGTTAATAAAAAAAGATAATCAAATATTGTTGCTAAAACTAACACACAAATCTGTCTCCATCATTGCAATAGCCAAGATAGAAAAATAACTAGTATCAAAATTTCATTTGCACATAGTATAAGAACAGCATGCCAATTTATTAGGAGAAATAAAGTTTCCTGCTAACATTTAAGTCTAAAAGATAAATATATACTAATCTTTATATAATGTAATAGGTGATATTCTTAAATACTACTGGGCAATGCACTGAATGGCATTTTTAAATACATCCCTGCAGTAAATGCAGTGTAGAGTTGTGTACAGTTCTCTCAAAGGAAGATTCTGTGAAATACAAACTAAGGAAGAGCTGTAGAAGAAAAAACACAGGTCTTCCCACAGAGCTCTCTCCTACTCTATAACCATATCACTGTGATATCTAGAACATATCCTATGTGAATTTTCCAAATTATGCTCTATACATATTTCTTTCAATTATGATACTGACAAAATTGGAGAAACTAGCCCTTTAAAGCTATATATGATGGCAAGATTTAGCCCATAGCTTTATTCCATCTAGCTAAATATGAGCAAAAGAACAATTCCTACTTCTGAGGCAACTTGATGTGTTCAGGCAGGTATTCTAGGTAGATTTTGAATCCACATCAAACCATTTGTTATCGTTCTTCATTTTATAGTAATCTGCTTCTGAAGAGCAGAATCTTATATTTCATTTGGATAATGAAACCTTGAGTTTTTGTAATTATCATTTCCTGTGATAATTTTTGTCTCATTGTTCCTAAAATCTTTAAACATCAAGAAAAAAGGCAAGAAACCTGGCAGCTGCGGAAAAAAATTCAAAGGACGTTCTACAGGTGTCCCTTGTCCCCAGGAATAATCTCATCCTCAGTTAAGCCACCCAAGTACACACAATTCTTAATGTCAGCCAGCTGCCAGATAATAGCATGAAATGATAGTAGACTAGCTCAAGTAATAATCTGTGAGCACTTACTGGTAAGTAAAACAAAAACTCCTCGGGAGGAGGGTTACCATTTCCCAAGCATTTAAGAGTGATGTTGTCTCCTTCTTTGATGGCATTTTTTGGTGGCAGCACTTGTATTGTCACTTGTTCTGTAGGATCTGTAAGAGTTATGGACACAAGTTAACCATTTTTGTCAAGTACCAAATTAATCTGTACATACAATGTAAATGACTAAATTATACACAATTTTCTCAAGAAGCTAGTAATGGTAATTACTTAAATATATCTTTTTAGAGAAGGATTTGAGTTAATAGCTACTTGCTATGCCAACTACTAATCTTAGTTAGAGGAAAATACAAAAAGACCCTGTTACATAAAAATCAATTTCTTCTTAAAAAAATGTCTTTAACTGAGGTAGGAATGACTGCAATTATTTTTTGTGTAAAAGACCAGTAGGAACAATCTTACTGTATGATTTCATTACAAAGACATTTAGTTACATTATAAGAATCTTATAGTTTGGAAAGAGTGGTTCAGCTAGCAAGTAGCTAAAGTTATTAGGTACCACATTCACTCACATTCTGAATAATACCTTATGTTTAATAAAAAGGGACATGAGCTAAACAACACTAGCAAGATTTTTCACATGCAGGAGAGTATGTCTGTTTTCAAAAAGATGAGTCCCGTGAACTGAGGGAGATTCTTAACACGACAAAATTGTAAATGTATTATAATCAATGGGATTGTAAATGTATTATTACAATTCTGTTCTATTCATTGAACAACTTTCATTTCATTTTGGTCATTTTACAGAGAAAACAGGGTTAAAGGGTATTCTTCAGTAGAGATTGCTGTTCAACAGTAGAGTTCCAAAGAAATTAAAGTTTGGATACAGTGGCCATTTCTAGTACAGGAAATAAAAGGAGGTGGTGATGGCAGTTATAAATGACCTACTTTCTAAAGTATCCATTCATTGTATAGCTGAATAAAAATGAACAATGAATTTCAACTGAAGTGTTGGTGAAGGGTGAGTGAAGCATGTGCACAGAGGGAGGTGTGAAGTTGTACTCCCAAAATTATAGTTATATAAATGACTGGCAAATTAATAAAATTTGATGGAAAAAATCAAAGTTATAATGCAAAGGTTTTCCACCAGGTTTAATAACTATTGAGGCATGTGTCACTATTCCAACATGTTACCACTAAAACTAACCTACTACCTATGAGTACTCAGTTATTAGCTAATAAAGTCAGATAAATGTGGTGAAGTTGAAGACTTTTTTCTCGTTGCAGTCACTTATTTAACTTTATTAAAGTGCAGAGAAAATACCTTAGAAGAATTGTTATAGATTTTTCTTTGCCTTTCCCCTATGTTTAGATACCTCTGAATATTTGCCCAGACTGTTCTGAGGCTAAACAGTGATTGGTTTAATGTACTTGTTTGTTCTGAATTTCCTTGAAGTAGTTCCACCGGCCGCAGTTGGAAAGTAATGAGAGTTAGTTTTTAGTCCCTCACTGACCTTCCATTTCTAGACCTCACTCACTTTATTACATAGCCCTCCCTTTCTAGCTAGTCTGAGTTTACCCCACATCACAGTACCAATTCTCTGATCAAAGTCAACACCAGAACAGCTAGGTATCACAATCCCTCTGGCTTCCTGCTTTATTTCAAAACTCCCTTTCTTTGTCCCTTTTTCAGCAGACTCTGTATCAGACCGTTCAAGAACTAAACTGAGATCATAGGGTCAATGTAACAGTTTTGAGTTTTAACTGTAACTCTATGGATGCCAACTAACATGTCTCAAGCAAAATTAATAGTATCTTGTTCTCCCTTTGCCCCTGACTTTGACTTTCAGTCTGTCTATTTGTAAATCATCATTCTGGCAGTTACTGTGGATTCTCCTTTGCCCTCTCTTATGCACTCAATTATAGAGTCTTAGTGATTAATACTCAGTTTATTTTGCATCTGATTCTCTCCTATTCCCAACATTTCCCTAGTCTTGATTCTGAATAACCTACATTTAAAAACATTGTGGTGAAACTTCATTCAGCCCTTCCCTTGGGTTTCTTTGTCTTCCTTTTTTTTTAAACTCTCTTTTCTATTCTTCATATATATTTCCTCTCAATTAGTTTTCTGAAGTAGTGCTTGAATATTACAATGACATTCACAATCTCTCATGCATTCCCAATATGTAAAGACTGAAATAAACATTTCCTAACCTGGTATTGACAATCGGCTTGAACCTAGTTTAGAGGAGAATTTTACGTTTCATGACTTTCTACATACCCCTACACAAAACCAAGAATCTACTCAAATTTCTTCCATCACTCAATTATTCTTATGTCCAATCACTTATTCATTTATTTAGTTAATATTCATATTGTATAGGTAGTAAGTGCTGGAGGTATAAATTTGAAAACAGTGTATTTCCTTGCTTTCAATGAACTTTCAGCCTATTTATGATAACACCAACTCAACAATTAAGATGGTAACAACATGCAAATGGCATAGATATAAGCATAGTGATCACGGGTGGCTTATATATGCAAAGGACTAGGAAATTTCTAGTAAGAATTGACCTTGGAACTGGCTCTTAAAGGATTAGTAGGTGTTTGATATATGACAAAGGTCAGGTAGTAACAACCTATGGATAGGGAGATAAGTAAATTATTCTTCAGGAAGAATCTGGAAAATAGAACAGACTATAGACAGTACAGTGAAATGGTGTAGCTGAGACATGACGCAGTTCCATGTCTTTAAGGGGCTGAAGGCATGTTGAGATTGGGAGTGTAGACACTCACATGAGGGACTGCAGAGTCAATGAAGAATTTTAATCACAGCAGTAACAGGGTCACATTTGTGCTTTAGAAAGATGTTTCTACAGAAAGATATCTTTAGAAAGATATTAAGGGGCCAGTTTGGAGATAACAGACATGAATATTATTTTTGGAAATCACTGAAATACAAGTGATGAAAAATGGTGGTATAATTTTGGGTAGTGTCAGAAGAAAGAAATCAAAAAATAAAGATTAGAAAATCAGATTCTCTAAAATTTCATTACTAATTGAACATGATAAAGAAGGGGTAGACCAGGTCATCTTTTCAAACTTTCTCAGAATGAACTTGTCAAATGTCTTTTTCTTGAATGCATCCTTCTGTTCTTTTTCACTCAGTTCCCTCCTCATCTCTGAAGTCATCTTAAAGCAGTGGTTCTCCAAATGTGGTCCCCAAATGAACAGTATTCACATAACCAGGGAATTTGTTATAGATGCAGAAGGTTGGGTCCTTACCAACTGGACGAGAAACTTTAGAGCAGTATCCAGCAATTTGTGTTCTAATAAGTCCTTTACGTGATTCTGATGCACACAAGTTTGAGAAGCACTGTCACTGAGCTATTCAGACTGTTAATCCAGTTCCTGTGTAAGTTCCTACACTTACAACCTTGCACTGACAAATTCCTTCTGAAGTAGGTGTCTTACCTCTCTACTGGAGTAGTAAGTTATCTGAATTAGGGCTATAAACATCATTGTGTATTCACCATGAAGTTCAGCCTTCTCAAAAGTCATTCCAAATGACTCCATAGAGACAGCTGTGTAAAATCATTTCCTTTTTATTTTTCCAAGAAGTTTTCTGCCCATCCAACTCCTCATGCCTGATACTCATATATATTCCTGTTTTTTGTTAACCTAGTTCCCCAATACTTAATGCTCATCTTGGATTTCTTTCCTATCTTGTTCATCTTCACTTCACCAAGATAATTTTTAACTGAACATATTTGTACAGAGAGATTCTACCTTTATTTACAAAAGTAGTAAGTTTGATTTCAGATGAACTGTGAATCCTCTAAATTTTTGCTTTAAATCAAGTGGAAAGTTAGTTGCAAATTTTAAGACAAAACAACCCTTATTGCTAGGGCAAGTTAAATTTCAGTTTTGTTCCAATATAAGGTCCTGCATTTTATAGAACCAAAATAGAAATGTGGATGAGATAAAACTCTCTAAAAGCTTACTGGCACTTCTGTCTTTTCTCTAGAATAGATGTATAAATACTAGATCATTCTATAATATGTGACAGACTCAAAATCATTTTTATTCATTAAAAATAATTTAATTCTTCCTCCCCTCTTTCACAAAAAGATGTCTCAAACTATATGCTTTTGTGATAACAATGATCATGCAGTGATAATGACAATAGTACTTTCTGAGGAACATTTCATGTACAATAGAGTGTGCTAGTTTAGATTTGTGATTTCAAAATTTTCTCCATAACAACATTATGACAAGTATGATATTTTTCCCATTTCAAGATAAGAAAACTGAGGCCTAAAGTTGTTAAGTTACTGTTCTAGGAATACACAGTAATTGACAGCACTGGGATTTGACTGCTAGCATATTCGCATTTCATTATTAGATTATCTTGGCACCTGTGTTGCAGGAATGAACACAGCATTGGAATAAAGGAGTCTACCCAGTGTGTATAGTTAATTTAGGACAAGTGCCTTGGCCTCACTTTACTGCTAAGTAAAATAATGGAGTTAGATCAGATGATCAAGAAGGTTCCCTTAGGGCCTAATATTTAATGTTTCAAATTTATGAAATGAAGCTAACAGAAACATTTTGGGACACAACATCCTATTTAACTTATTCAAATCATTTCATTAGTAAAATAAATTTCATTGAAGTGAAACCCCTTACCTAAAAAGATCATTTATTTTTAAAAATTACTGCAATTTTATTTTAAATTTCAAGGTTGCTGATTTTCATATGCTTAAGACATAAAATTTAAGTTGCATCTGTTAATATAAAGGCAAAATTGGGTACTTTAAAAAACTGACAAAATCCAGTTGCAACAATATAATTTTTTTTTTATTTTTAATTCTTCATTTATTTGGTGTTCATCTTAAGAATGAAAATACAATCTTTTATTCTTAATGATTTATATATATTGAAATTGTCCTCATTTCTCTACCACTTTAATCTGGTATTTTAATATTTTAACAGCATATTAATATGCTGTATAGAATTGCCTTATTTATCTCAATTCATTAGCAACAATATATTTTAAACCAAGTTTTCTACTTTTCCAACGTAAGTTCATAAAACAGTACATAGGAAAATGTAACTGTTAATAATTTCAGTATTCTCTTTCCAAACATATGGCTCTAAAGTTCAATACCATGTTAAAAACCCAATGCAACAATACACCAAATATTTATAATCACATATTTTTCAGTTAACAATTTATTCACTGTGATTCATAGAAGCTCCATGAAGGGTCAACTGCTAAGGAACTGTCCTGGTCAGAGTCACAGCCAAATTCTGGCACTTGGTTAAAGGAGCATGAAAATGCCAGGCTTACCTTAAGTAGAAAGAAAAAAGGAACACCTACAAAGTACTACACTTGAGATAAAGGAAATCTTAACTAACTTCCAAAGCAACTTTTGAGTAGGTGATACCTCATGCTCATTAAAGATAAGTCTTTGTTGCTGGGAACACTGGGTTTCTGGAGTTGAGTTTGAGGACACATACAGGAAAGGGTGTGGATTCAAACAAGTTTCCTTTTCCAGTTACTTGCAGTTTATTTTCCACCTTTAATTTGTTTGAAGCTTTGATTCTGTAGCTAACCTGGGACAGTTAGGGTGTTTCCAAATCTTTCATTTAAGGAATTCTTATAAGCTTCACATGTTTTTTTCTTTGTTGATTGACCATGGGTAGATTTTTGTCAGGAAAGAGGCTGACTCCTGGTGTGTTGACAGAACTGTCTTTTCTAACTGCATAAAAATATCTTCCAAATAGTCAGGATAGGGCTGTGCCTCCTCCTTCTGAGATAGTAATCTATAACCTTCCTCCCCATTAGCAATGTTGGCACATACATCATTAGGAGTGGTTATATCCATAAGGCAATATACCTCATGCCTCTTTTTAAGTATAGGCACCCACTTTAATTTTATCCTCAAGTTCAGATTTCAGTTTAAACTCTTCTATTTAACTTTGTTCATGTGTCAGTCATTCAGAAACCTTCACATGGTATTTTGAACTCCTATAAAATTCACAGCTATGTGCCAGGGCTGAGGGCTACAAGAAAGGATCAGACTAAAATATCTTGTCTTGGGGGCCTCCTTGGTGGTGCAAGGAGTTAAGATGCAAACTGTGAAGCTGTCCACAACCACTGCAGCATGATTTTGATCCCTGGCCAGGGAGCTACCCACATCGTGCAGCAGACCTCTCTTGTCTTGCCCACTGCTCCCCTCAGCAGTGTATTTCAGTTAGTCTGCCTGTTCTATTCCCCACTCTGTCTCTGGTGAATCCTCTGGTACCCCAGTCCTTGTATGCATAAATAAATAAATCTTTAAAAAAAAAAATAAATCTTGTCTTACAGAAAATTAGCATTTAACAGAAAGCAGAAGAGATGTTCATGAGTAACAAAGCAGACAGTGAAAGATGCCCCTAAATGGGCAAACATTTACTCCTCAGATCTTCCAAGAAGCAAGGGATAATTTGTGTGACATGGACAAGGTGGGATTGGAAGTTGAATCCAAAAAAAATCTGAATTGAGATTGAAAAGATTAATAACATTTGAATATTCTAACACAATAAAACTGAATAATTATATATCAAGTTACTTACAGTAAATATCGAAGACTGCCTGTTCAGAATGAACTATTTTCTGGCCAGATGGTCCATGATATGTCACAGAGCAGGTGAAAGGTGTTTGTATGTCAGCCTTGGTGGTCTTGTACTCAAGTGATGAAGTCATGGTATAGAGCTGAGTTACCGGGTCCATTTGCTTTTTAAAAATTATGACTACCACTGAAGAAAATAAAGAACACTAATGATAGAATCTGTCATCGGAAAATCACAATCCTTAATTAAATGTCACAATACTTTTGAGAAGTGGTTCTGTCCCTCTAACTGTATTTAACAGGAGGGAAAACAGACATGTAGTGAGGTAGGATGGCTTTTTCAAAACCATGAATCAAAGACATTGAGAGAAACAGAATCCTGGAATCCTATCTCCCACTCACTTTAATTAACTTCTAGAACATGCCATATACAGAAATAATTTTCTCTTCTCTTGATTCTTCTGCACAAGGGCTAAAATGGTGTTTTAAAAAATTGCTTAATGATTTAATGGATACTGAAAGTAACAAAATATAGAGTCATAAAGAGAGAGAGAGCAACACATTTAAATATAAGCTAGGCTAGTCTAAGAAATACCTAGACAAGAGTATGTCAAAACAGATTGTCTGAATTCACTTCCTTCTTTATACTCACTTCCTTCAAGAGGTTGCAACACTCTTCCATTCCTGTACCATGTGATATTGCCATCTGGGTAACTGTCTTTTGCAACGCAGTCACCCAACTGTAAAATAAAAAGGAAAGGTTACTACCTTGGTTCCATCAGTGGATGTCAATTTGAAAGCCCCAGACTACTGAGGGGATGCAGAGTTATTCCTAAGGTTTTGTGATCCATTCATCTTTCAAGTATTGACTAATGATTGAATAAATGTTTTTGGATAAAAACGTGGCTTTTTTTTTAAATTTTTTAATTTTTTTTTTTAAATAGAGGCATGTTTTATTTATTTATTTGTTTGTTTGTTTGTTTTATACATGCACTGGGTACAGTCAGAAGTGCGGGAGGGTGAGAGAATTCACCAGAGCCAGAGCGGGGAGCAGAGCAGGCAGAAGGACTGAAGTACACTGCTGAGGGGAGCAACGGGCGGCAGGAGAGGTCTGCGCGCCATGTGGGACCCTCCTCCGGTGGCCGGGGAGCAGCTGGGGATCGAACCTGCGCCGCAGAGGCCACGGGCAGCTTCGCAACCCAGCGCTCAACCGCTGTGCCACTGGGGAGGCCCGAAAAACGTGTTTTATTTAAAGTTATCGTCTTGTCTATTTTTAAACGTGAAATAGGTGCTACCACTATAAATGAAATCACATTTACATAAAAGCATTACCAAGTTCATTTTGATATCACTTTAACATTAACAAAATAATATAACATAACTTCATTAACATTATCATTAACATGGTTCATCTATGTATACAAGAATCAGGATCAGTGTTAAAATAGGGCTCCCTCTTCATTTCCATTACATATATTTCAGACTATTTATACTTTAACCATGATCTGTAATCTCTACTTCTTTTCTTTGCATGAGTTTCAACTTCAATATTTAGCATTTATTATCATTAATGTTACATGGTAAACTTTAATTGGATTTAAAAAACTCTGAACTTTTTTTTTTCCCAAAGGAAAATTTAGGTGTTTTAGTTGTGAATGTGTTTAGTTAATGTGCTCAAACATGGAATTTCTGTTTTGATGCTCTTAAATGGAGTCTAGAAACCTCTGCTAGTGTGATCATTCAAAGGTGGTCATCTCATACCTTTATTTCAACTTTTCAATAGTCTGTCAATAAAATACAGTGAAAACACCCTCATAACATATAATACTTGTCAATCCAGCCTCTTGTTACCTCTCCAGACCTCATTCTCTTGTCCACCATCTAAGTACACACAGTCCCAGAAATGGAAATAACTTGATGTTTCCAAATATGTCATTCTCTTTCACAGCATATTATTTTTTTTTAAATAATAAATTTTATTTTTATATTCCCCCATACAATTGCAAACCCCCCATTCTGACCCCAATCCCTCCCCTCCCGCCCCCAAACCCCCAAAAAGTGTCTCTGGTTCATAGTTTTTTGTTGATTTTGATTTTCACTTTCTTATAGTTATTCACTTTCCTGGTCCCTTATTTAAGTTTTCTAGATTCCTGCTATGAGTGAGACCATCCGGTATTTTTCTTTTTCTTTTTGGCTTATTTCACTGAGCATGATCCCTTCCAGCGCCATCCATGTTGCTGCAAATTGCATGTGTTTATCTTTTTGGAATGCTGAGTAATATTCCATGGTGTATATGTACCACATCTTCTTGATCCAGTCATCTATTTTTGGGCATTTGGGCTGTTTCCAAAGCTTAGCTATTGTAAATAGTGCTGCTATAAACATAGGGGTGCAGGTGTTCTTTGGAATTGATGTTTCTGTGCCCTTTGGGTAAATACCTAGGAGTGGAATTGCTGGATCATATGGAAGCTCTATGTTTAGTAGGTCCAGAAATCTCCACACAGCTCTCCATAGTGGTTGGACCAGTTTGCACTCCCACCAAAGGTGCAGGAGAGTTCCTTTTTCTCCACAACCTCGCCAACATTTGCTGTTGCTAGTTTTTTTAATATGTGCCATTCTCACTGGTGTGAGATGGTATCTCATGGTAGTTTTGATTTGCATTTCCCTGATTACAAGTGATGTTGAACATTTTTTCATATGTCTGTTCTTTCACAACATATTATTTCATATTGCTGGAAAGCCCTCTCTACTGTTGGTCTGGAGAAAATCTACCCATCCTTGTATGACTATTAAAGATTCAGTTCATTCAAGCCAGAAAGGCATGACTTTGTTATTTTTATGCTCCCCATGTCTCCTCCCTTCAGAAGTGATCACACTATTCTATGTGCCCCAACTCTACCTGTGCAGACTTTCTGACTAGCACCTGCAACACTGTCAACTCTACATCACAAAGTCTATCTAGTTTGTCCTGACATCTAAGGCCAGGAAAAGGCATTGAACACTAGACTAAACAAAAGTGAGTAAATCAAAAGCAAATTCTTACCTTTTTCAGCTGCCCTGTTTCTAGAAATGGTGCTTTGCTGACAATTTCAGGTTTGGATGGTTGCTCTAAAGTTAAATAGAGAAAGGCTTTAAGCACAAATGGAAGAAGGAAAGGACATTTGTGATTTGGCTTGTAGACAGTTCATTTACTCAAAACACAAAAACAAGCAACTGAAAAATGAACCACTTTCCCATATAACCTGTAATTAAGAAATCTGATTAATCCACCCCCACCAAATATCTCTTTGATTAAATATTGGTAATGTTTTCTATATGCTTTATAAACAGTGACTATGGATTTGAGGTGAAAAAGAGGTTAATTTACTAAATGACATATATCTCTAATTGGTTATCATGTCTGCTTTCTACTTATCAATGACTTCCAACTCTGGAGGTGAAGACCTGAATATACATGAATAAGAATCACAGGGGTACTTGTTTAAAATGCAGATTTCCGAGCCCTACCTGGTCTACTGGATTTGACTATCAGGGAAAAAAACCTGTAAATCTATAATTTTAATGAGTTTCACAGGAGATTTTTGGGCACAATAATATTTCAGAGTTACTGTTGTAACTTATGAGAAATATGAAGTTAATTAAACCCTTATTTCCTATGTATCTCAAACCTTATCTTTTAAGTCACATTATTAGAATACAAATGTGAGGAAATTTTTAAATTTTGAAGCTGAGATAATGGGCAGAAAGGTTTTAAATACAGGAAGTTCTGTAAGCATAAATGCTGAGGTATCAAGGAATTGATTAAAATTTGTAGTGATAAATTATTATTTAAAACTATCTTATTTTATTCTTAGTTGCTAGCTTTCTGTTATTGATGGATTTTTAACTTTTTAATTAGCTCTAACAATGTCTACAGAAAATGGATATTTCCTCATTATCATTGATTTTTGTGGGTCTCATGGAACAGAATTATTCTATTCTCATATAAACAGACAAATAATACAGCCAGCTATTCTTTCCCTCGTAGTCTTATTGTTTATCATGTCCAATATTTTAATTTTGATTCCCAAGCTAACCTAAATTGCTTTTGTATAATTACTATGCAACCTGAAATTCAGTTCAGTATCATATGTGTTACCTGTACCCAGAACATGCTAAAAAAAACAAAGAAAGACAAAATATCTTTGGAGCAGCAAAATGAAAACAGTCAAAAGAGTATGCAAAATAACAAACTTCTTCAGGTAAATATCTAGAGTGAATTTGTCTTTTGCAGCTTTGTTTTTATTAGAAATTAGAGTGAATAATGAAAATAAATTTGCCTATTTTTATAAGAGGATTTACTATTAATTTTAGAAATGTGATTCTAACACACAATTTTCACAAGAGGGATTTTTTTTTAAATATACAGATTAGAAACAAAACCGAAAATGATGGAAAAATGCAATAAAGCATAGAAAGGAATAACAGACACAATTATATTAGCACAAACATGTGATACCTGACTACTCAATTGCTAGTATGGCAAAAAATTATAAAAAACTGTCAAAAAACCTCAAAATAAACAGCAATTTCTGGGAAACACATGTTGGATTAAAGCCTTTTTTTACATATCAGTTAGCTTTAATGTATTACTGTTTTAAAGTAACATCACTAATATTCATCATGACATCTGAATTACTGACAAAATATTAAATGCTTTTAAAAATTCATTGAGGGAGTACTGCATTTTTTAAATATTAAAAAATATTGAAACTGAATGGAAATTCTTTGGACTAAAGTAAACAGGCCAAACTTTTCTGGAAACTAAAATCAGTTACTTAGTGACACTTCCTGAGAGTTTATGAGAGGTGAGATGTTAATTTAAGTGCTTCATCAGGTGTCAAAAAATAGATTTTTAGAATTCTCTCTTTAGTAGTAGTCATACCCAGAAAATATGGAGATATTTGAAAAATGCTTTGAAAAAATTTAGTCTCTTAATACAATATGTGTTAGACCAATTTTGCTAAGTTGCACTACTTTCTTTCTGACTAAAGTCAGGTACCAGAACAGTTGGGCACACACTTACTTCCCCTGATACAGAATATATGCCTCAGCTTTGCTTTGTAAACCCTGTGATGTTTTATCACAACACACAGAATCGTAAGTACTATTGTGATACAACGGTTGGTCCTTTATTCATGGGCTTGTCTATTTTGTTTCTATTTGTACCTTCTATAAATATTTTTAAATTTATTCTTATTTCAATAATATAAATCAGTTGCAGACCTGGGGAAATCTAATGAAAGGATGCTTACGTGTAGTTCTCTTTACACTGTTATTCATCTTTCTATTTAGAAGACTCACAGCCTGTTGTGGAAGAATTGGTAATACCGATTGCATTTCTTTGAGTTATTTTCTCTTTAAACTTTTGTTTCAAATCCTCTATAATAACGACATATTTTGTATGTAATTCTCTCTTATATTAGCTTATAACAATCGATGAGTATTAGTTGGAGGACCATAAAAGAAGACACATACTATTTTAGCAAAATTGCATATTGATTTCGAAGTGTTTTTTTTAAAGTTTACATGAATTATGTCTTAATATGATTCAAGGATTCATAACCAAGTACAGAACTGAAAGGAAAAATATGCCACAAATTTATTTGCATTATTAAAATAATTTGCCAGGTAAGGATAGAGTGGTGAATGCAAAACTACTCGATCCCAAGCACAAGGTACTAGTGTTATTAACAAATGGCACATACAGGATGGTTCAATATGGTGTGAGAGGCGAGCAAGAAACAACAGGTGTGCTGGTTACGCTGACTTAAAGAGTGCTTCACTCAGTTCTCTGTCAACAATCACCCCTCATGAATCCTGCGGCGCTTTAGGTAGACCATAGTGAACACAGAATCATGGTTCATTTTCTTTTTGAAGTGTGAAAAATTATTTTTCATACTCACAGAGTACCAACTTTGAATATACAGTGTAGATCTCATTTGTTAAACAGACCATTTACTACTTCCTCCATTCCTTCCTCTATCCCCCTCACCCAATAAAAGTACTTGTAAATTGAGTAACTTTCAAGGGGAAAGATACTCAATTCTGATAAACACTGAGAACCGTAACCGCAAGAAAGCTTGGTAAATCAAGTAACAGGGTCAACTGCATGGTGAAGGGTAGAAGTGAACTTTTAGTGGTGAACTTGATGTATATCTAGGCATTGATTTATAATGTTCACATCTAAACTTAGTATAATGTTAGAATACAATGTTACTTCCATAAAAAAAAATTAAAGAATAACTAAGTGGGAATTAACCAGCACTGCTCATTCTGGTACAATAGCTAGTTCAGACAAATGTATATTAGACCCTATGTCATGGAAATGGTTATCCTTTCACCAGCACAAACATCAGAATACAAGAGGACTTACAGATTATCCTGGTTGGGGTTTTCAAATGCTATTTTTTTTTTTACTTGATTGAATAATCAAGAAAAAATTTGAGTACTGAGAAGGTAGAATTTTAGTATAAGTGCCTCCTTTCCCTCCTCAACCCTCTCTTCATTAACTCAAGAGGATTCTAGTGACACTGTGAGAAAATCCACCATCTAATCCAAAGTACTCACTTGCTGGTAAGAAGAGAATCAGGACCCCAACCTGATGAAGTGACTTGTCCAAGGCCAGAACTTAGATCTGCTGATCTAACGAAGCTATGTCTCCTGATGACCAGTTTGGTGATTTTTCCATTGTACACTGACAGGCATCTGACAACTTGGGCTCCCACTTTGACCCCCAGAACTTTTGTGTAATTACTGAAATGAATCTTTGGGAACTTTTAAAGATATGCTCTCAGTTTTGAAGGATTTTAAATACTTTAAGTGTATTAAATGCAAACAGGTTGATTTTGATGACACTCAACTACTTCAAAAAGTAGCTGTATTAGTCGTGATAAAGCAAAGCATGTGACTTACTTGGATTTGTGCTGCTTCATGGCAATAATTTCTTGCATGTGAGTTACAGCTTAAACAATATATCTACATCAGAGGTAACAAAATCATTAATCATGACCTCAAGATTGAATGAAAACAGTTTGATTTTGCCAATGAGGATGGCACTCTGCAGCAAGATGATCTGGTATTGCTTGTGTTAACTACCCTTGATTCTCTGGTACATAGTTCATGTTGCTAGGTGATTTGACAGAAGGTAACAGAGGACTGATTGATGAGTGTAGTCACTATTAAGTGACCGCAAATATATACATGCACAGAACGAAAAATCGCTGTCACAGCTGCTGCTTGCTTCACAAAAAGTGACAAAAGTAAATTCATCATTTTTAAAAAAGCAAACTCTTTATCATGAGTTGTGCTGCTCATTTTATTGGGCTTAGAGGGTCCCACGGTTTCAAGTATAAAACACTACTTTTAAGAGTGTGTTACTTGTCTATTTAAATTCCCCCTGGCCCAGAGCCTGGAATGCAAATTCTGTTTCTGAGAATCACTTTGTTTTCAACAACATTCAAAAGAGAAGGAGGTTAGGGGTGCTGGTGGCAGGCGGGGTGTGAGTTTGTTTTTACAATCATAGAAAGCCTCTGTATTCCAAAAGAGCTTACAAATTTTATTGAGTTAGACGAACTGAATTGTTTTTCAGACACTGTATCGCATTTAAAAAAAAAAATCTGAAAATTTGTCACAAATGATTCTTCTAAATGGCACAATCTGGATTCTCTAAACTTCCTTGTCAACTATCTTGATATTTGGTAATTTTAACACAGTGAAAAGGAAAACAGACAATGATTTATCAGTACATATAACCTCTAGAGTGTTGTGACTTAATTTCTGTACCTTGTGGTATATTCTTTTATTTATGACATACATCATGGCTCATGACCTAATAATAAAAAAAAATTTCGTTTTTCTCTTTACAAAAAGTATCCCAAGCAGTATACCATCCATTTTAATAACAACAAAGTGAAATAAAAGAAAAAAAATACAAGGCACACTGGCAAATATAGGATCCAGATTATTGTGGCATTTACTGGAACAAGGCATGGCTGGCACACACTTACTACTTGGTTTGATCCATAAAATAATTGAGAAGGGTGGATGGTTTCTGGAAAGTGCCTTCTAAGCTGAAAGGGAACCAACTGAAACATGTAATATGCTTTTACAAGGTTCTTCTGGAGAACAAAGGTTTCCTTTGATAGTATAAGCACACTTTGAATCTGTGTCATGAGCCCATAGGAGCTTTGAAGTTCATATAAATACTTAAGGGACAGTCCCCCTTCATTGTATAGACTATTTTATAAGAAAAAAAAAAAAGAAAAAAAAATCCATGATTACTTGCTGTAATAGGAAGGGCTTATAGGTTTCTCTCCACCTAATTTATTTTTAATAATTTCTAGGTGGTGTCAATTTATCAGAAAGCAGAGGGGAAAAAGTTGAAAAGAGAACCTTCTTCCCTAATTAAAGTAGACTGAAACTTTGGAGATCTATTACCCTCTCTGTAATTTTTAAAATATTATGATGTAACAGAGCTGGGACTTTTTATTTGAAGTATTAAAAGATAAAATGCCTTAATTAAAACTTCTCAAGTCATTCATTTACATGGCTATTTACACAATAATATTTAAATATTATCATTAAGCAAAGTAACTGTGGCAGATGACAATAGTAGTTACACCAAGTTTTTTCTAAAACCTACTCTTCTTCCAATCCTACTTTAATTTTCACAAACACATTCAGAGTGTGGTGCACTTCTTTATTTCAGGATAATTTTCTAAGCCAACTGAATATTTTGAAAAAGTAAATCAACAAGCATTAGAGGTCAGGGTGTGTGTGGGTGTGTGTGTGTGTGTGTGTGTGTGTGTGTGTGTGTGTGTGTACTTTCCTATATAGAGAAAGCTTAAATCTCTTGAATATAAGATAGTCTGGATTTACCTGTATTTTATTGTTTTTATACATCAAAATGGCAATTTACATGTTTCAGCATACATGTACGTGCACATGCATGAGATGCATGATTATACATGAGTATCATGTATCTACACATCTATCATAGAACACTTATTTTTACATGTCAGTAAAAGTGAGAGATCACATGCCAGTTTTCACGTAGTAGTATTTCATATCAGAGGACATTTTAACAAACAAAATAACAAAACTCCTTTTTGAATTTCGGGGTTTTTGTTTGTCTAGCACACTTAAACAGAATGAAGATCTCTAATAAGCCCTTTTATAGAGATGCCTGCTGTAGAGACACTACACAGTGTGCAGTCATCTTTCTGAAGAACATTTTCTAGCACCATCCATCCATCCATCCATCCCATTTAGCAGTTACACTGCAGACTACTTACTGTACACCTTGATTATTACAGGTGCCTCAAACACGTTGTCCTCAGTTACTAGCATGCACACAAATCTCTTTTCATCACTGATTCTTGCATTACTGATGGACAAAGTGTAGTTTTCTGAGAGGTTCAATCTGTCTTTGTATTCTGGCACATCATCATACTGCACACTTTTCTTTGTAGAGGATCTGAAGGCAATAAATACTGGGGAGCCATCGGGCTTTTCCTAAAATTTAAAATAACAATACATTAAGAAAAACAAGCATATTCAGATGTTTCAGGATTATATTCAGAATTACAAAATTTTCTTGATCATACTATTCCACTAATATTGATAGTTCTAAGAAAAATAATTTTGGATACAAGACTTGAATACATTTTTTGGTTACAGAAAATTACTCTTCATAAGAGGAAAAGTTGTAAAATCTTTTACAATTATACTTTTAAATATATGAAAATGAAAGGACAGATTTTGGGAATATGAACTTTTGCCTCTGGAGGACAGAAAAAGAGTTTTAAAACTGACAAGGGCTGGCCTTCGGTCTAACATAAAAGAAAGAAATAGAAATAGATGGGAACAAACATACAAATGTATAAAATGATAGTCAGTTAACCATCAAACTAAACATATACATGGACTGCAAATACTTGTTTAGAAATCCAGGTTAATTACCTTTCATAAATTTGTTACTTTAACACATTTACATATTAAGTATCCACACTTTCCAGTTTCTGTTAAAACTGACATAGCTGAACTGTACACATAACATTGTCTAGTTGGTCTTCATGGAGAAACAGTATTTGCCCTTGTAAAGCAATTATGACCATTAAGCAACAGAATGAGATCAATTACAAAAATCCATAGTTTTGCTATTTGAGTCATAAAATTTAGCTTAAAGGGTTTTCATATAAAAAGTTACTATCAAAATAAAATACGATCTGTTATATACAATCATGCCATGAGCAGTGGGACATAGAATTCATTTCTCTGTTCTCACAAAAATTGTCATATAATAAGCAACTTAATCTAAAATAGGGGTCAATCCCTCATAAGGTCTTTCATATGATGTGATAAAACATTTAAATATATATGGCAAAGATGCAATGGGGAGTTATATTTTTTAAAAATTAGCATTTATTACTATCATAAACTAAATGTTTGTGTCCTCCCAAATCATAAGTTGAAGTCCTAACTCCCCAGTGTGTTTATTGCAATCGGGAGTCTAATTAGGTTTTACATGGTGTCATGGGGATGAGATCCTCCTATAGATATTAGTGCCCTTATTAGGAGAGGAAGAGATAGGACAGGTTTCTCTCCATGAGAACACAGATCTCCTCAACATATAGCAAAAAGGCAGCTCTCACCAAGGACCAAATTCTACCAGAACCTTGATTTTGGACTTCGAGAGACAAGTGTCTGTGAAAAGAGCTGCCTGTCATTTAACCTACCCAGTCAGTGATATGTTGTTATAGCAGCCCAAGTTGACTAAGACAATTACTAAGCTAATTTTGAAGTCCAAAGTTTTAGTTAGCTGATACCAGAATACATCCATAATACTCTCCTTAGATGTTTTAATTTTTTGTCACAGATACTGAGGCAGATGCTAGTGAAGAGGCAGTAGGATTGGGGTGGGAGGGGTGCACAAGGAACCAGACTCTCCATTCACAGGGAGACTACCAGGTGGATTAGGAGAAACTAATCCACCTTTCCTGTATGTTTGCATCATTTCACTCATTCTTAACCTTTCATCTGTCTCTCACGTTATATTAAATTGGAACACCTACACTACGTCACTAGAGTGCATGACACCTCAAATGTACCTTACCAGCTTACTGCTGAAGTCTTCTGTTTAAACATTTAAAAAATACCAGTATTGTTTGGCACAACTACCATTATGCCAGTTCATTTTAGGTGAAAAGTATTCCTGGGTTATAGTCAGAAATGTCTATTTTTACAGAAATGTCTAACCATCTGTACTTCACTTATTTTGGCAGTAAGTTTGACAAACAGGTGAATTATGTGGTAGTCTCCCAGAGCCTTGGAATTTGCAGGATACTAATAGAGAGGTTTGTCCTCACAGACCTTAATGTCATACCTCCATTTTTATAGGTTCTACTAATAGTTTAAAATTACTCGAAATGAGCTGGCTAGTAAGAGGAGAGTACAGAGAGGTGCTGTGCTGCCTAGCCTCCTCACTCACTTTTTTCTTTTTCTTTTTTTTTTTAAGATTTATTTATTTATATAAGCACTGGGTATAGTCAGAAGCGCAGGAGGGTGAGAGAATTCACCAGAGCCAGAGTGGGAGCAGAACAGGCAGATTGACGAAATACACTGCTGAGGGGAGCAGCGGGTGTGGCAGGAGAGGTCTGCCACGCCATGTGGGACCCTTGCTGGTGGCCGGGGATTTAACTGGTGCTGCAGAGGCTGCCGCAGACCAGCGCTCAACTGCTGCACCACCAGGGGAGGCCCCTCACTCACTTTTTTCACATGCTCCACACAGACCTGGTGTGCTTAGTTTCAGCAGTGACATCACACATTTACATTTGTCATGAAATTACCACACATGTCAAGTACTAGGTAAGTATTCTAAGTTAATTATTTTATGTAACCCTTACAACAACTATAAGAAATATTCTTGTCATATCATTTTATGGGGATAATAAACTTGTTTAGAAACCCACAGTGAGTATATATGGTAGAATATAACTGATTTCAGAGCCCACATTTAAAAAGATTGAACAATACCATTCCAGGGGTGTAACCTTGAGCACATTTCCCGAGCTCTGTTCTGTAGAATATTCTTACAGACATTTGAGGGGAAAGTTGAGTGCCTAAATAAATCCTTGTGAACTAAAGCACCTCAATTAAAAAAAAGTCTAAAAAACTAATCAAATGTATACAATAATGCATCTTAATATGTGAATGTCTCTAAGAAGTACTACAACAAACTTTTCAAAAATAATTTGACTACCATATCCTTTCCCTATCCTTGTGAACTAATGCACCTCAATTGAAAAAAAAAAATAAGCCTAAGAAATGAATCAAATGTATACAATTCATGATGCATCTTAATATATAAACAACTCTGAGAAATATTATAACAAAGAAACTTTTCAAAAATTATTTGACTACCATATCCTTTCCCTATTCAAACACCTCTCAGTATTTCAAGGAGCTAGGTAAAATTTGCAGTTGCTTCCAAGAAAACACATGTCCATTTTATGCTTGTCAACTACTGTGAGTCTCATGTGATCCAGCATAGGAAACTGTGTCACACAGATACTACTTGTTGGCTTTGGTAATTAAATTGAGACATTCTATCAGTGGCCACACCACATCCAGAATATTTACCATTCATTTCCAGACCCATCTAAACTTCTATACCTGAGAAAACATGATTTAGCCATCTGTGAGAAATGGATAAAATCAATAAGGTTAAATTCAAAAAGAACCTACCACATCAACACAGTTCTAACACTAACACCAAAACCAAGCTTCTAACACTGATGACTAATTCTCGATGAACATCTGGGTGCTCTGGCCACTGGTGCACCTTGCCTTTGCAATAGCCATATCAAACAGAACCTGGGTATGTGGAGAGAGGTTACCTTACTACAATAAGCTCTGTACTATACTCCTCTAATATTACTCTGAAACTCTGCCTTTAATAATTAGTTGGCTTTTTCAGACTAATATGATCTCACAATTATGTGTTTATTGATTTTATTTTAAAATGGCATTTGTTATGTAAGACTTAGGAATATTCTCTGGCTATATTCAACATATTAATTCCACCTTGCTAAATTTGTACCCACACTTGGATATTGCCATTATGTTAATTTGAAATTTACATTTACTCACAGAAGGTATTTTAAATAAATGAGGGCAATTAGCCAAGTCAAAGGGAGGTCACACTTACATATTTCCATTTGCCAAACATGAGATTCTGAGGTACATCGTGTCGGCAAGGCATGATAATGGTATCTCCATATGCTGAATTTACAGTATACAATCCAAGACCTTTAGAAAATAGAAAAGAAAGATTTTTAAGTATTTTCTTAGAGTAGCAGAGCAAATGATTTCAGTTCAAGATGTATGTATATCTTAATGAAGGTAAACTATTATAATTCTATCTTAAATGACATATAACACCACAAAGCTTTAACATATTTTACTTAAATATCAACATCTCTTATTTAGCTACTAAACCCATATCACACAATTCAAATTTATAGACATCAAATTTTACCATGGAATAGATTAGTAGTGTATTCCAAAGGAACATACTAGAATCTGAGGTTGCATTTTCTCCCTGATTATATTGCACAGGAAAATTTTCCTCTATATTTCATTGATGTGTGGAACTAGGCAAGGATTAACATGTTTTCTTTAAAACTAGCTTTAAATGTATTTGTGTTTTTCATTTGAAAATAATGTCAAATTTATCTTCTGGAAAAGATTTATGAATATATTAAAAACTAAGAACTAATATATATAAGACCACAACCAAATTTTAAGGGAGATAACATGCATGACTCACTCTGTAGTTTTAATGGTCAAAGTACTAGTTTTAATTTTAACTGTACATAAAATATTATCATAGTAAAAATTTATAGTATGAAAATTCCTCCTAAAATATCATTTACAAAGTGATTATAGGCAATAAAACTTAAAAGATAGCTTGCTGCTACAGTACAGAAAACTTCCTGGTTTTACTTAATTGTCTATTGAGAAAAAATATAAAGAAATAATTAAATTGTCCAAAAAAGTTGCTGCATACATATGTAATACACTATTCAAATCTGTATATATTCATGAAATTTTAAAAACTAAGGCATTTAACTTTGCAATGGTACTGCAAAATTTTTCAGATTATTTTTACTTTATTTTATCTGCAAAGTTAGGATTAAATACTTTTACATTCAAATATATTTACAGGTGTAGCCCTGTAAATCTTACATAGTGTTGTAAACCAATCTTAACTCAATTTAAAACAATCCAATGAATAAAAATCTCAATTAAAAAACAAACCAGAAAACCCAGGTATCTTTACATTCAAATATCTATGAGGATATGTCCTAACTGGATAAAGAACATGAATAGATTATTTGAAATAGAGAAAAAAAAAAAGATATTTTGTCCACCAGGTGGTGCTAAAACAATGCTAAGGCAATCAGCAACACATAAATAAGGCCATTTTGTGACTGGGTGGATACCATCTTTCACTATTACCCATCAATCACAACACAATACAATTTCATATTGGGGTGAAGTCATTAACCATATTAAGGGAAAAAATAAAATACCTATTTTAAAATTCTGTAAGTTGAGAAAACTGCTTTGCTTTAAGCTATTTTGCCCCCAGTGAACAAAAATATGACAGACTGCACAAATTTCATGTACATATGCTACATAACTAGTCTCCAACATTTTTAACATTGTTAAAGTAAATAAAACAATATGTCATGAAAATATGTTTTACACTTGCTATTTGAGACAAGAGGTTTACTAAAAATTTTTATGAGTTCAAAGATAAAAAAATCTAAATAATTTTTAAATTACTTAGTGTTTCCTACATTGTATCCTTAATTCCTTTTAACTCAAACCATTAATGAGGATACAATAGTAAATAAAAAACTGACATTTTCAGAACTGTAGAAATAAAATTTGTGAGGGTTTAGATACATAGTTGCAGATACACAGAGATAAGAAGTTGCTGTTTATTCACAACACAGCATGTATATTCTACCTACTTTGGCTGCTAAATGTGGAACCATGTATTTTAAGAACTGTTCCTGCATGGCACATAGGCAGGTAATTCAAGCCAAGGAAACCATTTTGTGGTTTATTATTTTTGTTTAATCAATACATAGCAAGACACTTGAATATGTAATAACTGAAAGATGATATGGATCTGCACTTTAACTTATGGCAGGACATGTGCCTCTAATTATAAAAGCACACCTTCCAACAAATGATGATGGTTGGATGGGTCCCATGGTTGGCCAAGGTACTCAAAACTTGAGTACCAGTGTGTTCAATCCAGGTACAGGGAAATAAAAAAAATTCCTTTTCCAAAAAATTTATTTATTTTCTTTTTTATAATTTTTCTTTTCTCTTCCTCATATGATACACACACAAACACGTATGTGATACATATGTTTACCAAATTTTATAATAAATTTTAAGGTTGCATTAATTTCAACTACATAGTATATTATGTATGATGAAAAAAGCAAAAGAAAAATAACCATATATTTTCAATCTTTGTATCCCCAGGAACAAAGCCTGGCATGGAATGAGCACTAAGATAATTTCTCATTAGAATTTTGTGGCGTTAAATTTAAGTTTTTGATAATCAAGAAGAGTAGCAATGGAACCTTGAGAACTCTTATTCCCACTACATACTGCAAAAGGTTACAGATTGTCTTTGTATATGGAACATGAATGTGCACTTGGATGGCACTCTCAGTTTTGAAGAAAAATACAAAGCAAACATTTTTAAGAGTTCATGAATGAAACTACAGGAGATAGAATTTCTTCCTTCCTTTCAAGATAAATTAAAGATTATTTGTATCCTGTGATTTAGAACTAATAATATCAAATGCCTTTTCCCTTATTTATGAGGACCATCAAGCAGAGTTGTTTTTACAAGTATTTGAAAATTCATGGATTTGGCTTTTTAATGATAGCATGATACCCAAAATTAGCCCAGAAAGAACTCCTTAAATCATAACTTAAACAAAGGAAATAAATCATGTGTCAAGAAAAAAGGCAGTTACAGACAGCACTGGCACACAAACTGAGGTAGACTAAATGATAATCAGTGGGACAGCAGTAGGAGCTACAACAACCATAATGATTTTAGAAATAATATTTAAGTTTGCTGTAATCATTGACTTTTCTCCTCTGTCAAGGGTATAATGACTTACAGTTTCATACGAAAGGCTTTTCACCTGCGGGAGAGCTAATATCTATCCCCTTACGACTCCACCCGCCCTCCCCCCCCCATAAAGTGACTAAAAAGACTACTGTGATTTGGTAACAAATTAGCATTCTGATTTCCACACATGTCTCAGTGTTTGAGATGAAGTGCCAGCAAGATCCAAAGTACCTGTCAACACAGATGATTCTGTTTATACTTTTAATAGAAGCAAGATATTTTATCTTTGAATTGCCAAGAATGAATTTAATTTAGCTTATTAAAATTCCCCTATAAATTTCTCCCTGTATTATTTGCTGGTTAAATCACGCATGGCTTTGTAGCTTAGAAATTATTGGACACTATTGTCAATATAGTATGCCTATGATAACCTTTCTCAAAGAAACTAAATGTAAAATACGGACTTCACGTGTCTGTGCATATATGTGTGTATCTCAGTGTGGTACATGCTGTATCTATGTGTATATCCATTTGTAAGATACTTTATGATAAAAGTATTCTGTATTAAATGTGTTCCATAAATCAATGGTATTGTGAGTTATTAATAGTTACTTTCAAAATGTCCAGATAAAATAAACTATAAAAACGTGTCATACTTGTGAAAAAGTTTGTAATTATTTATTTAGTCTTTTTTTTTTTGGTAAAGAGTTATTAGCCAAAGCTAAAGTACAACAGAACTAGGAAGTCTACAATAAGATGATTCAGTGGAAGTACAATGTAACAGATAATTCTTCATCAAATAATTCTAACATATAGACTCTCAACTAAGTGATCATAAAATACAAGCTAGTTATAGTTACACATCTTGCACAGGAAATAATTTAAAGAGTCACTGAAAACAGATTCTAGTAAAATTCTGAAGCTAGTTGAACACTTTTTATTTCTAATTGAAATAATAAAAATGTAATGACATCAGGCATACTGGTGAGACCTCCTTTTTTCATATAATAGTCTTAAAGGCTATTAATTTCAGAGCCATCATTCTCTTTGCTGACATAGACATTTGAATTGAGGCAGCTTAAAATTTAGAATCTGCTACCACATTTCAAGCAGAAAAACAGCAAACAGAAAATAGGACGAGAATTAGTCTAATTTTACATGTCCTAGTTTAGTGTGGTTAGTTATTTTATATTGCACTATACTTTAATAACATCATCTTCCCTAAAATCATTTTTTAGGGCTCTGTAGCTGTGTTATGTGCCATAGGAGGGTTAATCACATTTATAATTAGCTAGATAGGATGATATAAGAACTAAAGTCTAGTGCTACAGAAATTTATTTCTGCAAATAAATTGTTGGGGAGGAAGAAGGTAGAAATGAGAGAGTGACCCTTTGAAATCACTTTCATATTTATTTGATTTTGGTGAAAAAGCTAATGTCATTAAATGCTGTATTAATGAATTAAGGTATGTACTACTCTAATTAAAAATGCAAAATGTTTTGCAACATCACTTTATAGTAGTGTTTTTCAATCTCATTATTATTGCTATTTTGGCTGAATAATTCTTTAACATGGGGAACTGTCCTGATTATGTTTAGCATCATTCCTGCCTCACCCCATTAAAAACCAGTAGTAGTCTTCATGACAAAAAAGTCTCCAGATATGACAAATGTCCCTTGCAACAGAATGTTCCTCCCTGAATGTCCCATCCACTAATAGTTGAGAACCATTGGTTTCTTTCATTTAATAAAACTGTGGTTTCTAAATAATCACTGTATAGGAATGAAGGGAAGGAGGAAGAAATGGTAGATGGGAAAGCCTGCTTATCATAAAATTAATTGCATCACAGAAACATATTATGTTGAGCATCTTGTATTATAGCAGATTGATTCCTGACTTTGAGAATCTGAGATTCAATCTCCACAGAACAGCAAATCTACATCATGTAAGACAAACAAGCACAAGTTACACATACTATGTGTGCTTTCACCATACATATCAACTATACATATCACATATTTCATTTAATATGAAAAATACAGTTTTATGGATAAAGGTGAATTAGTCACCTTTAAAAGTGTGTTACAAACCTATGTTTTTATTTTCAGTGACATAATTTTTTCTCACAACTCCTCC